GGGTTTTCTTTGAGGGGAGATTTGAGATGAGAATGTGTAGTATTTGACTTTTGTTTTTTTGTGTTAATTATGCTTGTTAGTGGTTGGGGAGTCTATTTGGTCTTTTTGAAAATTGACTACTTCAGTCAATTTTTTCTTTTTAGTACTGTTTTTTTTTTTCCTTAATTTAATTTTATTTATTTTGGTAGGGATTTTGTTCATAAAGGAGAATTTCCACAAGCTTGGGGATGAAAATCCGGAGCACATGCCGATAGGGTTCGAAATAGCCTTTCCGGCCATGATAGAAATAGCTAAAAAGCTTGAAATTGAGATCCCTGAAAATTGTGCAGGATTGCAAGAGATTTATGCAATAAGAGAGTTAAAGCTCACAAAGTAAGTATGCAAATAAATATAAATATAAAAATATAAAATTACATTTATATATTCCCTTGATGAGTTAATAGGGTAATAATTACTGTTTCTGCTCAAGAATAATATACAATTCATCAAAAAGAAACTGGTCTGGTGATGGGAGCCCCAGCCTTATCTGTCAACATAACATAAATATATTTGATAAAGATAGGTTCAACATTAAAATAAAAAATAAAATGAAATGAAAATACGTAGTTTCTTTTAAAAAAAAAAAATAATTGTTATGTTTTTTATTTTAGGATACCAAAGGAGACATTGCATAAAGTGCCAACAACGTTACTTCACAGCTTGGAAGGGATTGGAGGGCTAAAATGGGAAAAACTGTTGAAATTAAGATGTGCTGATGGCTCTTTCCTTTTCTCCCCATCTTCCACTGCTTTTGCACTCCAACAAACAAAGGATGATAACTGTCTCAAATACCTCACAAACTGTGTTGACAAATTTAATGGAGGAGGTAATTAATTAACTAAAATTACATAATAATTATTATTTGAATTTTGTAATTTCAATTTATTGGTAATTTTCAACTAATTAATTAGTATATTTATATATGATTGGTTTAGTTCCTAATGTGTACCCCGTGGACTTGTTCGAGCACATTTGGTCGGTGGACAGGCTGCAGAGATTGGGAATATCTAGATATTTTCAGTCAGAGATCGATGAGTGTATAAGTTATGTTCATAGGTAAATGTCAAATTAATTTTTACAATTATTCGTTATTTTTATATAATTTCCATCAATTATAAACTTTAGAATAGNAAAAAAAAAAAAAAAAAAACAGGTATTGGACAAGTAAAGGAATTTGCTGGGCGAGAAATTCCAGAGTTCAGGACATTGATGACACGGCCATGGGATTCAGGCTCATGAGGTTACATGGCTACGATATTTCCGCAGGTAATTAATAAACAAAAACTCAAAATTACAAATTTATGTTCATTAATTTGGAGCAAATGATCATAATTGTGTACAGTATTTTTTTTTTATTTTTCTATAGTTTTAATTTTAGCTCGTGTGTAGCATAAGGATATGTTTCCGCATGCAGCGGATAACCGTGACTGAACCACACGTGGCGCCTTGTTTTGCAGAGGTGTTTAGTAATTTTAAGAAGGGAGGAGAGTTCTTCTGCTTTGCGGGGCAGACGACCCAAGCCGTGACGGGAATGTACAACCTGTACAGAGCATCCCAAGTGAAGTTCCACGGGGAGGATATACTCGTGGATGCAGGCGATTACTCCTCCAAGTTTTTGCGGGAAAAGAGGGCAAAAAACGAGCTGCTTGACAAATGGATTATTGCGAAGGACCTTCCTGGCGAGGTCAGTTTCGTAATTTCATTTATCTTTTTTTTGAACTGTCATTATGTTTTCAACTCTCAGTAATATCCTCTGCAATTTTTTCTTACTCTAGGTATTATCCTTGCCGAATGCATATGTACTGTGCATTTTTTTTTAACTCTCGGTATTATGCTCACATATATGCACTATTTTTTGTCGGTTTTTTGGCCGAAATATTAAATCAACTAGTTTTATTATGTACATTTACACGAAAAACGATATAATAAAAAAAAATTAAAAATATAGAACAAAATAAAAATTATAACTTAATAAATAAAAAAAAAATAATTGAAAAAAATGAATCTAAATATTATTAAACACTTCTTTACAACATTCGTGGTTTTTTCTATCGTTAAATTTTTCATCACAACAAATCATGATCGTTGAACCCTTTCGTCTCTTTAGGATTTGATTTTTTTAAAATATTTGATGTATTTTTGTAATATCCATAAAAATATTTTTTTATTATTGTATGACTGCAATAGAAAATATAAATATTTGTAGTCATTCTTAATTAATTGTGAAATATGTACTTATATAAAAAATATATAGTATCAAAATAAAAAACAAAAATATTTTGTGTTTCATGACATAAAAAGACATCATAGAAATAGGCACATTTAAAAATGGGACCTGTCAAAATAAATTGTGTAACTCAAAGTTACATATCTATATCTATATATATATAAAGAGGAGCAACAAAGCATTTAATTTTATTACCATGCATTAAATTTTATTCTCCCTCCAAAATTTTCAGCATTCAATTTCATTTTTTAAGTTACAAAATAAATTGCTTGAATGCAATAAATTATGATCATAAACCAATCAAGGGAGTTACAAAATTGTACTCAAATTTTAAGTCACACACATTTATGAAAATGGTCGAGTATTAGCATAAAAAAATTGTGAAAATGGTTGTAACGGCTCTTCCATAGCAATTACTTGATCAAAATCAATTTTGAGAATTATATTTTTATGTTTTTAAAGTATTCGTCTCTGTGCAAATGCACAGATTGATTGCTAGTATATATAAAGAGGAGCAACAAAACATTTAATTTTATTATCATGCCTTAAATTTTATTCTCCCTCCAAAATTTTCAGCATTCAATTCCATTTTTAGATTACAAAATAACTTGCTTGATTGCCATAAATTATGAGCATAAACCAATCAAGAGAGTTACAAAATTGTACTCAAATTTTAAGTCACCCACTCATGAAAATAGCCGGGTGTATTAGTATAAAGAAAATGGTTGTAACGGCTCTTCCATAGCAATTACTTGATCAAAATAAATTTTGAGAATTATTTTCTTAATTCATATTTTTTTTCATGAATTAAATTATGATTTTTTTTATATTGTTATCTTTTTAAAGTATTCTTCTCTGTGCAAATGCACAGGTTGATTACTAGAATATATAATTTAGAGCAACAAATCATTAAATTATATTATCTTGCATTTAATTATATTATCCCGCCTAAATTTTCATCATTTAATTATATTACTTTATGTTCCCGCCTAAAGCAGTTAGAGATATTATAATATTAATATATTTTTTGCTAATTTTCTTATCACCTAATCAGTCTATTAATTGTATGAATGTTCTAGCTAAAATCGTGCATTTATATCTATACTTGCCTTTTTTTTTCTTTTCCTCCAATAATTTTGAAAAATGAGATCTTCGATATTTTTTACACAAAAAAAATGCGTGATCCGCCAATAACAAGAGAGAAATGAGCTTGAATCATAGAGTGTTTGGATTATTTAAGTCGAGGGTTTTCTAACGTTTTTTTTGGTAACCGGTTACCTGATTCTTTTTTTTTTTTTTGTTCAAAACAATGTGTATTGGGTTTAATTTGAAATATTATTTTCTTTGGGCTCTACTAAATCGAACTCATTAAACAAATAGGCTTACTGAGAATATTGACCCAAGTCACCCTTACAAGTTTTTTATTAAAGAATTAAGCCGAATTCACTACATTTTTTTAATATGTTATTCATCCCAATTCAACAACTATTTATAATGAAATTATTTGTTCAGTAGACAATTNAAACTAAACATAACTTGTCACAAAAAATTGTAAAATATGTCCATTAATTCACGTGTTTAATAGTATAATCACAAAAGTTATGAACCAACATTGACTCAAACTACTATCATATTTTATAATTTCCACTAATATAATAATAAAAAACTAGTCTAAATCGGTGGTACATGAGTGACAGAATAGAATGTCATCTTGCCACGATTACTCACATCAACCACCTCACAAATTATAAGAACCTCATCATAGCATGATCTCTCTTTAATTATTTTTCCATACTATTTTAATGTACTTTTTTCTTCCTTTTATTTTAATTATTTCATAAGTCTCAACTGGCTTTAATTATAGAAAAGCGTGCAAACTTTCGAGTTTTATTCTAACTACAGCTACTACATACACCTAATAAGTGTATAATGTGTCGCATCAAAAAGCGATTTTTAGAAAAAGGTCGATCTACATGTTCAAAGAAAGGCTTTCAAGTGACCATGGGTAGAGACATGTTGTGTGATTTTCTATCTACTTAACAAAAGCTAAAAAGGAAAGAATACTATATCCCATCAAGCAAACTCCACATCCCAAATCAATATTTTATAATTGGAGGGTTTATTAGTGCCACAAATTTTTAGATAAGTTGATTTGAGGAGCCAAATTTGGTACATTAGTCATTTTCAACACACTAGTTATATTTGTAATATATGTTAGTTTTTTATTAATTTATTGTCCCACATCGAATGTGTACAAAAAATCTGTAGGATCTTATTAGTATAAATAAGTCCCTTGCCTTTGAATTGCAATTGCATCTTATTTTATTCTCTCCTCTATTAGAAGGAAATCCTTAATTAAAGAAATTCTAATTTATGGGTTATTTAACCCTAGTTGTATTTTGTTGGTGAGTTTAGGGCGGTGCTCGGAGACGTAGACTATTTTTGTCGAACTCCGTTATCAAGTTTTGTGTTCTTTTTATTTCTCGTCTTTTATTTATTTGTGTTGGCTTATTCATGTTTGGAGTAATGTTTGCCATATTTGTTGGAGGGGTAGTTTTGTCCGCTGCGCTTGGTGTTCTATCCCAACAATAACGAAATGTCATTGTCAAAACTAAATGAATAGTGTTTTAATGTTGTAAAATGCCCTTTTTTGTTTTTTTATAAGGTTGTTAATGTACATCGATCCTAATTGTTCTCACTTAAAAAGGTTAAAAAAAATGTATATATTTAACTTTTTAAATACTTCTTAAAAAATTATTTTTATTTCTATGTAAAATGACACTCATTACTTGTAAGATGTGTTCATCCTAATATATACTGTTTTTCCAACTCATATTATAATAACTTGATACATAAATTTAATTGATAATTAATATTTTATTATTTTTTATTTAGAATATATTAGATTATTTAATTTTTATTTATAAAGGAGGATATAATTTCTTATATATGCAATATGGATATAAAATCTTTAGTATAATTAATGTCTAAATACGTGTATTGAAACATGAGTTTGGAAAAAAATATAGAAATGAATAAATATTTATTTCAAAGTATGCATAATTATGTTTTTAAAGAGTGATGAAATGAGATGAATGTAAGTCTAATTTATATAGACTGACTCTCATTTTATTTGGATAAAAGAAATCTTGTATGACGGTCCAATAATAATTTATAGAGACATAAAATCTCCTTGATAAAAAAATCTTTTCGGTTGATAAAAAAATCTTTTACGACGGTCCAATAGTAATTTATGTAGACAAAAATTACACAAAAATATTTTAATTCTCTTTACTTTTTACTCTTGTCGTTTTCTTGATCATGAATTTTTATTTAATATAATTTCTTGTTATAAAAATCCAAGTTGAATAAGTGCGCCGTTTCATGAACCATGTATGCTTTAAAAAAATAAAAAAAAAAATAAAACTTGATAACTATTATTATTATTAAAATATTACAGGTGGGATATGCACTTGATGTGTCTTATTATGCTAGCCTACCTCGACTCGAAACACGCTTCTATTTGGAGCACTATGGCGGGGAAGACGATGTTTGGATTGGCAAAACTTTATATAGGTAATCACATCTAAATTTACATACATTAAATTTTTTTCACCTTATTTTAATAAACCCACCCTACATAGTTTAGTATTATATTCACTAATTTCTGTTGTGCCTCAATGTATGTTTCTACATAGTAATATTATATTCTCTAATGTCTTTGGTGCCTCAATTTAATAATTACATGTAACATTTTATAAATTTAATTAGCAACATATAAATGTTTGTGTATCTAGAAAATTTTTTTAAATCATATATTCTTTTGTGAGTCGGTCTAACCGTTATAGAGATTAACCTGTCATATTTTTTAAAAAATAAATACATATGCTATGAAATTATATTTTTATTTATATTATTTTTTTAGGACATTTCGCTTTGAAGTATGTATGTCTAACGTTTAGCTCAGCACAACAACAATTGTACTACTTTATAGAATATATTTATTGGTACGACTACTGTTACCTAGCCAGACTCAATGACGAACTTGTCACAAAAATAAAAATAAAAATAAAAATAAAAAATCAACATTGAAAAATGTAACAATAACTACTCCATTTTATATATCACTAAATGAATTTATAGTTAAGAGACCGAAAAAGTAAATCATTATAAATACTTTTAAAAATTTATCTAAAAATGTAAAATATAAGGATTGTTAGAACAAATTTCAATATATAAATAAGATTATTAATTTGAATTAAAATAACATCATTTTTTTAATTATTAACTTATTGTAAATAGTTTTTGTATTTCTATATGTACTTTTATATTATTTTCTTTATATATATTGATTTCTAAAAATAGTAAGGGGGGCCAGCCCACTTGGGCCTCATCTAGGTCCGTCGTTGGCAGATATAACGGACACAAATACATATTTTTAAACTGAAATGTCATATTATAAAAAAAGCATAAATAAAAGTATGACAATTTAAAACATAAATTTATATTTTTGTTAAAAAAAAATACAACACGTCTACTTAAAAAAAAGTACAACATGTCGGTCCACCTGATCGTCTCATATAATAATTTGTAATATTTTAATTTTTTTTTAGAGGGGCATTTCATTAATTCGGCGCGAGCTTTGTCGTTGCATGCATGCATAAAAGTATGTTTCACTCAGAAGACACGTGAGCTACTATTTTTTTAACCATTAGTCGAACAGAACAAGAATAACATAAAATTATGCATATAAATCCAATATTTAGCACAGCTGTGGAAAAAAAAGTAATTAAGTATAAAACAATGAGGCGGCCCCGGATTCAAACAAATGAAGACGATCAGAACATTTTTTGTCCACTTGGATATAACAGTATATTTGACGTCATCAAATTGCTCTGGACTATGGAAATTAAAATAAATTTAATTTATAGTATTTGTACCATTATAAAATTTTATGTACGGGACAATTAATAACGATAAACATGATTGTTTTTGTCTACGTACTAATTAAGCTTGTTTTATGCATTGTTAGGATTAGGGTAGTAATCAAAAGACGTGAAGATTCATGTTAATTTGTCTTTTATAATGTTTTCTTGTGTTTTGCATCTTACAATCATGTTCATAATTTAAATTATCTATAGCTTAAGTGTATTGTATACTCCTATACATAGGGAATGTCAAGTAATTTGGCCCCTCTAACTGTTAAAAATCAACACCGACGGAGGTTTCTAAGACCACTTAATGACATTTAAGAAAATATTATTAAAAGCTAATTGATGTAGAATTTTTTAGGATTTGTAAGTCGGTGAATGTAACCGACATTAGTGCTTATAAATAAGTTGAGGGACTCATTTTGTTAAAGTGAACGGAGAGTGGTGAGAGTTGAGACTAATTAATTTGAGTGCTAGTGAGTTTACTTATTAAAGTGTAGTGAGGTGTTGTAAGTGCTCCAAGTGATTCACTTTTTCTTGTGGTCTTGTAATTATATTATAAAATAATTTTATTATTCACAAGTTGTTCTTATACCCAACTCAACAAGTGGTATCAGAGCCAGACGAGCGGAGTCTGCCGTTGGTTGAGGTACGAGTTGTTGTGTCGAGCTTCTTGATCGTAGTTTTGCAGTTTCGTACTGCAAAGGTCGTGTGCAGTTTAGTACTACAGAGTGTGTAGCCAGTTGAACGAGTGGGGCCACAATGGCAGACCTTCAAGTGGTTGGAGGTATCAAGAAGCTTAACAATCAAAATTACAACACGTGGTCGACGTACATGGAGTCATATTTGCAAGGCCAAGATTTGTGGGAAATTGTGAGCGGTAGTGAGGTTACACCACCGGAGGACTCTACAGCTTTGAAGAAATGGAAGGTTAAAGCTGGCAAGGCCATGTTCGCCATCAAGACCACGATCGAAAAGGAGATGTTGGAGCACATTAGAGATGCGAAGACACCAAAGGGCGCATGGGACACATTCGCGGGGTTGTTCCCGAAGAGGAATGACGCGAGGTTGCAACTTTTGGAGAACGAGCTCCTTTCCATCTCGCAAGGAGACATGACGATAAACCAGTATTTTGCTAAGGTAAAGTCTATTTGTCGTGAAATCTCTAATTTAGATTCTTCTGCTGGTATGTCAGATTCTCGGGTAAGGAGAATAATCATTCATGGATTGAGGCAAGAATATAGAAGTTTTATTGCTGCTGTGCAAGGTTGGCCAACCCAACCTTCTCTCGTAGAGTTGAAAAATTTGCTAGTTGACCAAGAAGCGTTAGCTAAGCAAGTGTTCCAAGCCTCATTCAAGAATGATGAAGAATTACTTTTCGTAAAGAATATCAGAGGTCGACACAATAAAAATTATGATTGGAGAAAAAGAAACGACAACGACAAAAATGAAGACGAGAGGAGTGCTCATTTAGGGGGAGCACAAAGGAAAGAAAATTTGGGTGGTCAACCTCAAGAAAGTAGAAGATTTGAAGAGAAATGTTATAACTGTGGAAAGAAAGGCCACATAGCGAGTAATTGTTGGTCGAAGAAGAAGCCAACGGAAGGAAATGCAGTCACGTCGGACGAGGCACACAAAAGTGAAGACGAGTGGGATCTTGAAGCACTGTCAGTCATAATTGGAGAAGAAGAAGCTGGTGAAGAGGTCGAGATGGCTTTAACGGCAACGGTCGCTGAGCTTGCCGACTCAGATTATGAGTGGGTAGATAACATTGGAATCAAGTGACGAAACAGGAGACATGAAAGACTTACCAGACTCATAATATAGTGAAGAGCATATGGTGACAGTTGACAATTTGATGTTGTCAATCGCCGACAGTGGTGAGAAAGAATTAGTAAGGAAGATATAGTTGAAGACGAGCTCACAATAAGTCACATGCTAGTAAACAAGCATTGGAGAAGAATAGAAGATCAATCAACCGTCAATAGCTCACAAAAGCAGAGGTTAGTGAGAGTGCGTAATCGAAATTCAGGGTACGAAAAAAAATTTAAGGAAATATGCTCATGCGAAAATACCTTACTTGATGTAAGGTGGTCGGGAACAACGAACGAGCAAAAGTCGGTGTTGAGGGGGAGTGTTAAAAATCAACACCGACGGAAGCTTCTAGGGACCACTTAATGACATTCAAGAAAATATTATTAAAAGCTAATTGATGTAGAATTTTCTAGGATTCGTAAGTCGGTGAATGTAACTGACATTAGTGCTTACAAATAAGCGAGGGACTCATTTTGTTAAAGTGAATGAGAGTTGAGACTAATTAATTTGAGTGCTTGTGAGTTTACTTATTAAAGTGTAGTGAGGTGTTGATTCACTTTTTCTTGTGGTCTTGTAATTATATTATAAAATAATTTTGTTATTATTCACAAGTAGTTCTTATACCCAACTCAACACTAACTCTTGATTAGCAATTTATTATATCCTTGATATATGGTTATATGTATAATCTTCAATTTATTGAAAACCTTTTGGTATATTTTTTTGTGAGTAAGCTTGTGAGTTATATAATCTAACCATGTGTTAATTTAATTTTCAGAATGCCATGTGTCAGCAGTAATACCTATCTTGAGCTAGCGAAATTAGACTACAATAACTGCCAAGTCTTGCATCAACGGGAGTGGAAAAACATTCTAAAGTAAGATACGTTAGAATTTGATGAGATGAATATGAATATCAAAATTTTATAAAATATTTCAGTGTTGACTTATTTTGTTTATTATACTATGTTTTGAATTGCAGATGGTTCAGAAATTCCGGTCTCAAAGGGTTCGGAAAAAAGGAGTCGAACTTTTTACAACGGTACTACATTGCAGCCGCTTGCATATTCGAGCCAGAGAAATGGGCCGTGCGAGTGGGCTGGGCCAAAACCGTGATTTTAGTTGAGACCATCGTCTCGCATTTTCAAAGGCAAGGACTTTCGAGGGAACACAAAAGCGCGTTCGTCGAGGAATTCGAACAAGGCTGCATTCTCAAGTACGCAAATGGGGGGAGGTGAATTGTCATTTTTCAAGAAAAAAAAAGTTCATATATATTTTGGCTATGTTTGGTAAAAGCTAGCTGATAGTTTATATAAGTGAATTTCGTGCTTATAGCTGATATCTTATGGCTTATGAGTGAAAAGCTAGCTGATATGATAAAAGTGTTTGATAAAATTAGCTGATAAGCCAGCTGAACAAACTTATTTGAAAAATTACTTAAAGAAGCTTATGAAATATGTTCGAGGATTCTTAAAAAGTTCGTCCTACCAAATCAAGATTATTTGTATACAAAAAACTTATAAGCTAACCAAATAAGCTATCTAGCTTATGGTACTTATTAAACACTCTTTGTTTCAATATTCTTTGTATGAATTGACGATATTCAACGAAAAATTATAAAACTTAATAGTTATTCCGAATTTTTTTGTAGGTATAAAACGAGATCACCACTCGTCGGAGCTTTTATCATGACTCTAAACCAACTCTCATTGGATATATTGTTGGCTCATGGACAGGACATTCAACCACAACTGAGTCAAGTTGTAAGTTGAAAGCCATATTCATGTTAATGTTTCAATGTCTTTTGTTCTTCTTATTATTATTATTATTATTAGGAAGTAAAATTTTTGGATTGCCTAGTGAAATCAAATGAGTAATGATACACACACATATCTATAGTGGTACAAGTGGTTGAAAACATGGGAAGAAGGAAATAATATTGGAGAAGGAGATGCAGAGCTTTATGTCCATACCTTAAATTTGTGCGGCGGAGGAAGAAGGGCAAGTGCTTTAATGCTGTCGGAGCCTGATCTTTCGGACCATCCGAAATACGAGCAACTTTTGAAGGCCACGATTAGCGTTTGCCATAAGCTTCGACTCTATCATCATGAGCATCAAAAGGTTAGATCGAATATATGATTAATCGAATTGAAAATGACTATAGTCCCGTCACATAATTATTCGGTCAGTGTGTTTTAACCGTGGATTATCTTCCTACAATAATCTACATGTGTATCTAAAGACTAATAATAATCACGGAATGATTTTGTGACGGGACTGTAGTCATTCCCAGTCGAATTATTATTTATCAATGTTTGTGCTTTTTGGAACATCGTTTTATGCATTGTTAGCGAAATGTTTAATAAAATCCGAACAATTTCTTCACTAGGCACACGATAGTTGTGGCACCAACGTTGAGATCGAACGCGGCATGCAAGGGCTTTTGAAATTGGTGCTCGACAAGTCACCGGAAGATTTAGATTCTCAGATCAGACAAAACTTTCTTACGGTGGCTAGGAGTTTCTATTACACGGCTTACTTTAGTCAAGAAACTATCGACTTTCACATCAATAAGGTACTCTTCGAGAATGTACTTTGATCATGTATATGTAGAGTACTTTGTGAGGGGCTCTGTAAATATATAAATAGTGTTACAAGTTAGTAGCTAGCAACGAAGAGCGTCTTTGAGCGGCAATAGTTGATCGAAACCGGAAACTTTTAGAAACCAAGCAAAGCAAAAGATATGCATATTATCTTTTTTCTCTATATGTAATAGTATTTGGAGAAGTTCAAATTTTCTTTGCTGCATGATGGAAATATTGAGATTATTACTATGATTAACAACACTTCCATAATTGTAAACCAACATAAAATTTAGTCTCTTCACAAATCATGTCATGCAAAAAGTAAGGGCCTAACCATATCTTTGGGGATGTAAATTTGCTTTTCAAAGTCATGCGCCACTACTATCAAATCCTAGCTATGTTATCTAGTATCTAATTTGTATCTGCCTAATACTTTTGTGTTGTCTAAACAGCCAACAAGGAAATTTGTAATGGAACCCACATCACCACCTCAACTCAAATCTTTAGATCACTGTCTGTATCTAATTTTGGTCTAAACCGGAGCGAAAATAAAGAAAAAGAAAATAAAATTCAAAGTAATTAATATACACCAAACATTAATTTTGATTATGGTTAAAAGAAAAAAGATCATGCAATTGAAAATTCAGCTAACTGCTAGAGAGATCTGACTTCCCAAATTTTTTAATATTAGAGCATAAATATTATGCAAAATATTGTTGTTTAGAGTATCATATTTCAATTTAAATGTATTTGAAAAAGTATGATGCATAACCGTTAGCTCTACGTAACACGATAAAACCACATTAAAAATCCTCATTAATATGATAACTCAAAGAACCATCTAAATTACGACTAACGTTGGTGGAGATATCTTTTCTCTATTATTGCATTTGAAGAAATAAAAACATAATAATAATGTTGTCTCTCACGTATTGTTGGGGCTGTATATTTCGATTTGGATCATTATAATTAATCACATGTTATAACTTATATGACATTATTTTATTGGCCTATTTATTATTTGGCCAACATTATTATATTATTTCTTGGGCCTACAATCTATTTCGAAGCGCGAGGTCAAAATAAAAAACAACGGACCACAAGCCCATTCGAATGGTTAGATCCATTTGTCAACCTGTTAGGCAATCTATGTAGGCAAAAAGACGCATCTATGTCTTTAACATAACATTTATTAGACAAATTTACGACCCTACAACAAATGGAAAGGAAAATGGCTGTGCAATCCTAATTGATTTTCTCTGCAATCCTCTCGCGCATTTTGGTATGAAATTAAGGCTACTAAAAATGGAACAGTTGTGTGAATCCATTGTACGCATCTACCCTTTTTTAAATGATGAGACAATATTCAGTCATAGAAATGCTACATATATTATCATTGGAGATTTTACTGGGATGAAAAATGAAATTGAATTAGTGATGTACTCATTAGATAAACTATAAATTCATAATACAACTGAAAATCAATTGCTGGTTTATTTTCAATTATTTTCAAAATTTGGTGCTCCGTTGGGTAATCTGGTGGACGTTAAAAATACTACAAGTAAATTACAGAAAGAAATTATAGTTCATATGATCCTTTGTGAACCATTTAGTCATATATAGACTGACAAAATAAGATGTTACTCATACAGTCATATATAAACATGAAGTATATTACAAGTATTCCAACAACATANAAAGAAATACCAAGAAATAAACCTGATAAAGTATCATAAAATATAAAAAATACCAAGAAATAAACTTGATAAAATATAAAAAAATACCAAAAAATACCAAATTGAATTTTCTTTTGCACAAGTCTTGGATGTTGAACTTCAGCAGCGACTGTCTTTCTTCTTTAGCTTTTGCGTCATATGTCCTCTGCCTTCGGATGAAGTATCAAAACATAGTCTTCGTCCTCCTCTTTTGCCATCGGGAAGAAGAATGATTTTTCTAAATTTTGATTTAAACAAATTAAGGTTCACTGAGAAAGAAATTGACTTCTGCGATTTTTTGGTTTTTCAAGATGTTTAAGTGCAGAGGTTGCTTGTTTTGGGAGAAGAACCAACATACCTTTTTTATTTTAGATAATTAATTATTAAATTAAGGTGGAATTAAAATATTAAAAAATTCGTAAATTTGACTTAATGGAGTGTGATGTGCGAATATCCTTTTGATCTCGCTAAATGGGACATAAGGAAATTGGACGTCGTGCAATGGGTAATTTATTCATCTATCTTATCTATTTACCCATATTCATGTCGATCGGTTGATTTGGTGTGAACAAAAATTAGAAAAACAACTGTCCAATTAGTCCTATCATCAAAAACATCATAGACACTTGTCCTCTTGCGACCTTCCTGAATACATGTTTAGCATCTTGGTTCTTAGTTCTCATGTGGTAATCATTACTTTCTCTTTTCCATCGTGTATAAATGTAGTGTATTAGATATGTTTCGGAACCACACAATCAATTGCATAAAAAGAAAACATTGAAGAAATAATCTAAATACTTATTTGTCATCTCAGTTTCTCTAACGGTTTATCGTTTTTACGTTTCTTTCGTTGTTATTACGGAATTATCATTACTTAAAATAATTTGGTAACTAATTATCATCAACAAATTATATGAAAAACAATGGAGATTTGAAGCGACGCAAAAACTTATACCAATGGGGTTACTGCAAGATCATACAAAATTGAATAATTAAATTCAGACTTCTTTTATATCAAAACACGCAACATGTTAAAACAAAGAGAGAATACATTGAGTAGAGAAGAGAAAGATGTATATATTCCATTGCTCGTGATAGTGAGATTACATCCAATATATAGAGGTTGCAAGAGATCAAAAACAAATCAAGATCTAATCAAATCAAATATTTAATTACCAAAATCACTAATACCAAATCAAGATCATATTAAATCAAAAATATCTTACTAAAATAACTAAAGCTATCTTAACACAACATATAGAAAAAGAAATTGAATAGAAGTAGAACCAACATTTTATACACTAAAATAAACAAATTGACTTATAAGTGGCAACTCGATTTTTGGATTTTATGCATTTGGATTCGGTTCGTGCAAATTAGCATGAATGAATCAAAACTTAAAAATCAAGATGAAATCGAACCAAATTGCCTACATTAAAATAGCCGAATCTTACCACACTGAATTGCACGGTTGGGCTGGGTGCTCGGTTTTGCTCACCTCTACATCCACATACACAAAAGTGCCACGTGTCACTCGTGTCTCCCTCTCCACCCCTCTCTCAGTTTCTCACGCAAAAGTAAAATTCGGGGGAAATATTTCATCACAAAGCCGAAGATTAACGGATTTCAGGCCTTAGCCATGGATAGCAGCCTCCTCACTCAATCAATCGCCGCGAAGCTCAAGCTCAAACGTCCCTGCATTTCTTCTTTCTCTGATTTGGCCCGAATCTCGATCCCGAACCAGAATCCATTGGATGCGCTGTTGGAATCTTTTCTGGATCTGTCCGATTCATCGGCGATCTCGCTCGACCTCTCGATCGATCGGATAATCGACTCCAGGCCCTGCGCGTCCGACAAGAACGACGTCGTCGAACGGGCGCTCCGGCTCGGCTCGGCTCTTACCGAAGCCGCCCGGCGAGCCGCCAGGAGGCGCGCGTCCATTCACAACGCCGTCGCTTGGGTGCTGCCGTCGGATATCACCATCAAGGTGCTTATCTGGTTTGCTCGTAAATTGCCGGTGTTGGATAATTGAGCAGTGTTGTATTGTTATCGTTTATTCATGTTCTTAGCCCGTCATTGAATTAGTGTTACTTGAATATGTTATTCGTGCTGCTTGCTGTACTTTCTCACAGCTGATTGTGTGGTGATTTTGAGTTTTTGAAAGGCTTGGATTCTCTTCCGCTTGCTAACTTCAGTTTGCAGTCTGGATTATGTATTGTTTGATTTGTTATGGAACTGTTTTCCATTGAAACCGGTTAACTTGGCACCAAAACAATCACCTCATCTTACAAGTCTCAGTGTGCATCATGGTTTCAATTGTTTATGATGATCAGAGTGCTTGCAACGTGGTGTAACGGTCGCGTTTACAGTGGAACAAAAGACTAATAATAAGTTCTTGCCTAGGACTTAGAATGGTTGTTGTAATCTTTATCAGTTCATTTTTCTTGAATGCTTTTTGACGGATTATAAGCTTTTGTAAATATGTATTGGACAATAGTATTTTTATCTAATCAATAGTAAGATTCGAAAGAATGCAAACTTAGCTTCTGTGATTCTCACATTTGATATTTTTATTGAATATGCTCTGGCCGCAGGTATTCTCGTTGCTCGATACTCAAAGTGTATGTCATGCTGCGGCTGCATGCTCCTTTTTCAATAAATGTGCTGCGGACCCACTGTGCTATTCCAATATAGACTTGACCACAGTAGTCCCAAAGATCAATAACATGGTAGTTTCAACTATGATTCAACGAGCTGGAAAAGGTCTGAGGTGAGAAGCCTAGCCTCTCTTTTCCTTTTAATGTTAAAGGGGTGAGTCTATTTGTAATTAAGTTTTCTCATTAATTTCTCCTTATGTCTTTAGCTCAAGAAGTCTAGTTGTCCTATTTAAATTTTGCTTTCGACTTAAATCAGTTATGTCAATATATTAAATTGTTTAGAACCAATATTCGCACTCAGTGTGTTCCATGTGGCTTTGAATACTGTGTTTGGTGCTTGTCTCATGACCCAAAATCCTTGATTCTTGTATGCTTCTCCATTATGTTCCATAAGGTGTTTCAGTGTCAACTTTGGATTCTAAGAACTGCATTTACGTGCTCTCTGGCTTAAAGATAATACAATGACAACCTCTTAGTTCCTTTATGCTCACAGCGGCAACTTAATCTACTTCTTCTCACTGATCAATGTAATTCTTCGTAACCTGGCACTGATTCTGGGATTTCTTTAACTGTTCATGTGCCGGCATGTTCATTAGCACGTGTAGGCATCCAGTTGTAGCTTTTCATAGATAAGAAATAGTTGTATTTTCACATAACAAGCGATACTGATTACCTTACTGTTCGTAGGTCCCTTAAACTTGGGATTCTCCCCTGCTCCTCTTCTGCATCACTGGGCTCACCAGAAGTGCTTCATTCTATGAGGAAATCTTCAGATAAGTCACGTTTTTCATGGAATGATAAAAGGTCTAGACTGGAAAAAGAATCATTTGTACTTACGAGGTCTTGCTTGGCTCCATTGATTGCTGATGGTGGTGCCCCGGGGTAACATTTGATAGTTCAATTTTGTATGCTTATTTCTTTGGTTTAACTTCAACCCTTCTCATTCTCTTCCTGACTTTCTCTTTATTAGAGCACTTTTGAGAAGGTTGCACCTCTACAATATTGAAAGAATGGACAATACAGCACTTGGTGCTGCATTATCAGCTTGCACTTCTTTGCTTGATCTAGAAATTGTTGGCCTGTGAGTATCATAGCCTTTTGATTCCTAAACTGCTATAATTTTTGTTTCTGCATGTTCTTTTTATATTGTCTGCTGATGTATGGTGTATTTAAGTTAAAGGGACCTGAAATAAAATTTGTTAACTTAAGTCAGTAACACTCTGAATTGGAAGGAGTTCTAGTATGTACCATTCTCTGTTACTTTCATTGGTTGGGGTTGATATAGATGTGCCTTGAAGGAGACTGCCTAATTGTGGGTAGAACCTCAGCATACTAGCAATTCTCTGTCAGAAATAAATTTGAATTTTGTTAAGGCATCGGTTAAAGGGAGGTTTGGGTTTCATATGTACCACTGACTGCTAGTTCCATAGGTTACATGCTCCTTTTTTTTAATTATTATAATTATTATTTTGTCTTGATTAATAATTCTGTTTAATGGAAAACTTCCTTTTAGATGTTAATAAATACTATTTTGTTATTTTATTTTGACAGGCAAGTGGAGTTGAGGCAGACACTGGAGTCGGTGAGTAGATCTTGTCCTCTAATAGAGCGTCTCTTTTTTGAATCATCAAAAACAGGTAAACTCTAGCCTACACATGTCTACTTTCAGATCTAAAAGGACAATTGCCTCACATTATGATGGCTCCCCTCAGGTAGTGATGACAGTTTAATATTATTGTCCTGCAATGATCTTGTGACCAATTGTCCCCATGTATCCTCGCTGGCACTAAGAGGTTTTAAACTGCATGACACTAAAGTTCGTGTACTTGTAAAGGTATGCTTGTGTTTACAAATTAAGACTCATTAGTACTTTTTTTTTGGCTTTTGTGTGTGTGCTTTCGTGGATTCTCCTTCCCTACATCTTCATTTTGACAGCATGTGCTGGAAATTTCATGTTTGAATGGCTATTTTGCATGTACATGATGTCCCTGTAGGGATTTCGCGAATTGAAATGTGTTGACTTTTCAACTTCCTACTCAATCACCGGCTTCTTTCTTAGGTATGCTTTAGTTGTCTTATGTGTTGAAATAATTATTTCCCATGCAATGCGTGCATTGTTGGGTATGCTCTTGTTTTCATGGATGCTTTTGGTTCTTTTGCTTACAGGAATCTGGATTCCACCGCAGGTGGAAGCTCACTGGAGGTCTTACTTTTGCGGGAATGTATGCACTTGAGAGAAGTAACGATTAAACTCTCTATCTATCTATCTCTCAAACTCGATAATGCTATATGGATTTTAATCACTGTCAGAAAAACGCGATAATTCATTATAAAGGCCACATATTTTGTAATTCAGTCAGAGGTTTCACGTTTGCTGTCAGCAATACTAGCAGGACGCTTTAGTAACCTTAGACACCTTGTGAGTGTCTCCCTTTCTGCACTATGTACCCTTTACTATCTTCCGGCCCTCAATCTTCATACCCTTAATTTTTTTCTCGTCTCATATTTATAGGATGTGTCCAATCGTGATGGGCTGGCGTCAGATGAAGACTGGTGCCGTCGATGTTTTATCCCAAGGTGGATATCGACTTTCCCTCATAATCTTTATTTTTCAAAAATTGTGACGAACACTAATACAAGAATTCTGTAGCTTCATGCCATTGGACGGGTTACTGAACGCAAGGCCCAATTTATGCATAGTTGCTGATTTCCCTCAAGACGTGAGGTGAGCGTGAGATTGGATACAGATCTGTGATTGAATATTTTGGTTTTGATTGGTTTTTTTTTTTTTTAACCATAATTAATTTCGAAAAAGTTGGTTGTGTTAGGTTTGAATGTGATTTTGAATTTGTATTAGTGTAACATTTAAAATATATTTTGATTTAGAAGTAGGAGAATGGGTAGTTAATATTATATGAGTTGATGAAAATATTGAATTAATGTTGATGCGATGTGTAAGAATGATTGATTGATATTATCTAATTTATTGATAATATTGAGTATAGTGAGGTTGATGTAAATTTGAGTTAGATTTTGAGTTAAAAAAAAATGATTGGTTTTTTATTGAGTTTTTTTTATCCAATCACCCCCCAAGTGTTCAATAATCTCATCTTCAGTGTTTAAATGCCTAATCGTAGACGAGTTCAGTGGATATCTGTTTTTTCTACTAAAATGGGATAATATTCCAATTTTTCTGATTTCCAGTTTTGTAGAGGAGCCGATGAGCAGTAGTGATGTTAACAGTGATATCGACTCGCCCTTGTTTATGGGCAGCTCATCCGAGATGAGTTATGGCAGCGATTTAAGTAGTAGCAATGAGGGCAGCCTCATTCGTGAAGACAGCTCGGATGAGGTGGACTAGTTTGCAGAGATGTAATAATAATTGCCGGTAAGGTTTTTGACCAGTCAATTTCTCTTATCGGATTTTTTTATTTTTTTTTTATTTTTTTATGGTGGTAGTAAGTCAGAGATAGTAAATTGAGCACAAGGGACTAGGAACTCGTATCAATCCAAGTTTCCATTAATTAGTGTTCTCGAATTCCCTGAGTCTAAGTGTTTATATATCTATTATTGTCTTTAATCCATTTGAAAATTTTCTGTAATTAGAATAAATAGTATCCAATACTGGATTATGATGTTGGTTTCTTGATGAGACGTGTGAAAGTAGGGGAAAGAAGTATAAATGCAACTCCAAGATGTTACGGAGACATTTTAAGGGTGCTGTTGGTTATGAATAAAACAGGCCGGTTTTGATTGAATTTATTGGTCAAGGTGAGTTAATTTCGAGTAAAGTTTATTGAGTGGGGGATTTAGGAGTAATATATAAAATGTAGTACTCCCTCCATTTTGAAATATAAGGCGTATAAAAATTTCTCACTTTTTTTGAAATATAAGGCGCGCTCAAAAATCAAGACAATTTTTTACATTTTTTTCCAAATATACCCTCATTGTGTTGAAATTAAGGAAGTGTGGAGTGGTTGTGATTAGAGTAAATAAGGTTAATTTAGTCAATTTATTCATTAATTAATGTCTCCTTAATATTTGTGCAATAACCTTAAATGCCTTATATTTCAAAATGGAGGGAGTAATAATTAAAATTGATGTAATATAAAAGTAAGAGAGATGTTTTTGGAAATGACAATTAGTTAAAAATATGTGAGTGGATGAGTAGTGAATTAAATATGATGTTTGAGGATTATTAATTAGTATTTCTTTTGATTATATTGATAATATTGAGAATAGTTCGAATTTGGAATGAATTAAATTTTTATTCCTGTAAAATACGGTTATATTTTGTAGTCAATCATGCCTTAAAGATCTCAATTTTTTCTTTGTTGATTGCAAGAACATATATAGCTTTTTTTCGTATGTGTGTTACCGTTATATGATCATGGAATAATAATTTTTAAGTTTTATGTACTTGATTTTATATTGTGAAAGGTATGTGTGTTTACATCCAAATTAATTTACACTTATTTCTTGATTCTTACTCATGTGACATAATTGGTACAATTATATAGGAATGGATTGGTCACTCTCCTATTCATTTTTTATGTCATGAATGCTATAATTTAGAGTAAGGAATGTTTATCTATTTTCATATCTTTAATGTTTGTTTTTTAAAAAATTAAAACTAACAATTCGAAATAAATATATGATTAAATTATTTATTATAAAAAAAAATTTATTTTTATTTATTATTAATATCTCGTGTAGATATAAAAAAATATTTGTATAAAATAAAAATTTCATTAAAACTTATTCATTTAAAATGGATTCTTGTCTTATGTTTATCTATTCATATATATTATAAATTTATTTATAATTTGAGTTAACTTAAATAATTATATATAATCATATATGCTTTCAAAGGTTCATAATGACAAATTCATATTAGTTAATAAATATAAATAAATAATTTTACTTATTTATTACATATAATAGAGCGTAACAATATAAAAACATTTGTTATGAAAAGAGTGTAATTTTCTTAAGATATAAACATAAAAATAATACTGACATAAATATATATATATATATAAAAAAAAACATAATAACATAGTAATAATATGATTCGATAATATTAGGGTTCATTCCTCTAGCAAACCAAATAGAAAACCTAGTTTTATTCTTGTTTTCATAATCATTCAAATTTTTTAACTCTTCATTCTTATCAAAATTAATTTATTCCATCAAACCAATTATGTTATTTAAGTAAATTGGTTATGAGTTATGACTCTAGTAATCAAATGCAAGCAATTAGTTATTGTGATTTGGTTCCCATTACATATTGATCTGAATTCAATTCACGTTACCCTTCATTCAATCATGGTAACATCCTTCAATTTTTCCATACGTTACGAGAGTTACAAATCTCTTAACAATTAATGCCTCTGCATTTATATCCACTATATATACATATTGTTAAACAATATCGATACTGTGAAAACTGAAAACTTAGTATATAGAGCTTTAAGTATGAACAAGGGTTTAGTTATTCTATCGCTCTTCGTCTTGGTAGCGATAATGTGCCCGAGCTGTGAGGGAGGGCACGTGTTTGTGGTCGACCCGTGTACAGAGGACATCTGTACCTTGATGTGTCGTAGGGTATATTGTGGGTCCTACCATTGCCCGCATGGTTATTGCCGCCCGCCAAGTGATCCGAATAGCAATCCAAAACCGATACCTTTTTACACCTATTCGACATGTTTTTGTGTGCCTAGATGGTGATGTAACCCCCAAAAATATATATTAATGAATATAATAATAATAAATTAGTTTCTATTAATGAATCTCTCAATCTTTTAAGGTTTGGTTTGTGGTGTTTATAATTTTCTTGGGTCGATGGTTTATGCGTTTGTGGCGTTTTATGGCTATGGGGAAAGAGATTATTGGAATTGATTTGAGTAGTGAGAACGAACTAATTACTAAGTATAATGTTGTATTGTGCTTTTTTTTTTTTTTAATAGTTATATGGAATTGTAATTTAGAATGAAAAGATAATGAGTTTAGAAAGCGTGGGTGAAATTTGAAGGATTCAGGATATCTTATGAATCATAATTGATTTGATAGAAGAATAGATACCATCATTGTGCATGGTTTAAATGTATTATCCAATGATTAAGGATATCATGTGGATCATATGAGTTTAAGGTTATTTAGGAAGTAAACTGACAAAATGTTTTGTACCTTTGCCCTAATTGCCAAAATGATACTCTCGATCACAATTGGTCAATTCAAATTGAACTGGGCCAGTAGGCCCAAATATAGAGAACCTGCACAAGGTTCATGAGTGTTTGGCCTGGAAAAAAATAGGACTACTGATAAACTAGCTACTAGTACAGAGCCCGTGCGATGCACGAGGTGCACAATTTTAAGGCTATTTATCCAGGCTTATAATTATATACATGAATAAAGAAAAATGTATGAGATATATATAGTACTTGACCCGTGCGAAGCACAGGATATATTTATTTGGAAAATATTATATTATAAGATGCAATATTCAATAAAAGTTTATAATACGCAAGAAAATTGTACAATGTTCAATAAAAGTTTTATAATATTCAAGTGGAGTCTTAAAGTCTCTTGTACATTAAGACTACTGACAAAATAATATTTTAATCAATGAGTTTTCTTTCCTTGTAGCCAAATTGTGAATGTGATTTGAGGAGTACAACAAATCGATATATAACTGACTTGCTTTTTTCATTGTAGTTTTTTTCTTATAATGTATTTAAAGATATTCTAAAATATAGCAAAAATTAATTTTTTTATTACAATTAGGAATTTTACTAAATATAGACTCTCAATCTATGATGTTAATCAACGTTTAAGTCTCAAAAATTAGGAATTTTTACCACTTTTAATCAACGTTTAAGTCTAAAAAATAATAGAGTTATTATAAGTTTTTTTCTACATCTTTTAAGACATTAAATATGAGCATGTTAGGGCTAGCTTGTAAAATAATTAATATATTATCTCACTAAAACATTTATACTAATAAAAATTTAATTTTAGCATATAAATTTTCCTTGATATAAGATAAAGTAACAATTTTACTTATTGTTGTTAACCATATAATATTTAATATTATATTATTATATAATAAAAATAGAATATTGTTAAATAGTGTAGTAGAATTGTTATAAAATTATATGATTTTTTTTTTACAATATGGATTAATATTTTTTTATGATTTGATAATATAAACAAATCTATACTTAACTTTGACAAATAAAACAAATAAATACTTTAGTAAGTATTTAATGTATATACTAAATAGGAATATATTTGGTATAATCAAATACCAAATATAATCAAATAAGTCAAAGTGTACATTTTTATTTGGTATTTGATTTTTTTATTATTAAAATCTTTTTATTATATTTACTTTTTTAAAATAAAACATATAAATAAATCAATTAAATAAATAAAATATTATAATACTAAAATAGTAATGGTATTTAATGAAGTTGACTTTTCTGGATAGTAAATGTAGTAAATAGAATCTCCTTTTATATAAGTATAAATATAATATTATATTATGTTGCTCAAAATAGTAATGCATTTATTGCATTGACTTTTCAACTTACTAAATTTCGTAAATGGTACACCTTATTATATAAGTATAGATGAGGATATGTTTTTGTGCATCTTATGAAAATCCACGAGAAGCGGCTTGTACTGGACACTCCAATAGTAGAAGTGTGTTTAATTAAGAATATACAATAAACGTCTTTATTATGGGAGCTTTATTCTTTATCCGCTTATGAAAGGCAAGCCGACACAATAAGGATTGCAATGCGAAGAGCTTTGCTTAAGAAACATGTCTCAGACGTGTAAAATCTAAGAACCAATCATCCAATAGCAAAAAATAAATATTGGTGAAGTTTTTGGATCTTCGCTTGTGCAATTTAGTATTTGTTTATTTATAGCTTATTTTATTAAAAACATAATATGGAAAAAATGAAATCAATTATGTATATTGTGTAATTAATTGTGTTTGATGTTATTTTTAATATTTAAAAACATCTCCATACATATGCAAAGTTTGAAATCAATTGTGTATGTATATTGTTATAACTAATTGTGTTTAAGATATTTTTAAATATTTAAAAACCTTTCATAAAAATAAAGAGTTTCTTCGGTCTATATATTGAATGTTGTACGTAAGAATTCATTGAAGGTTATGTTTGGTAAAACTAACAAATAAGCTAATTGATAAACTAGCTTATAGTTTTATAAGTGATTTTCAAGTTTAGCTTATAACTTATTACTTGTAGTTGAAAAGCTAGTTTCTATGGTGTTTGACAAAATTAGCTTATAAGATAGCCTAAATAAAAATTTCAACGAGCTTATTTAAAATGTTACCCAAAATAGCTGATGCGCTAAGCTCGAGTTTTTTGAAAAAAAAAAAATTGCCCTACCTAATGAAGTTTATTTGAATACATTACGAAACGAAATTTGGTTTTTCGTAATCATAAGTCTCAATTTTTGGTCATTTATATGTGAACTTTTATCCATATAAATTGGAGTTTTAAATTTTCAAACACTTAACTAATTCAAATTATAAAAATATATTAAAAATTATTA